TGTTTGCTTTACTTAGACAGTAAAACTATACATGACACACACCTGCCACATACTGAAGCTCTTTGTCAGATATTTTAAATTTATCAATTAGAGCAGCCTCTAAACTGTGACCATTTGGGTTTCTTTGACAATACGCTTTTTGTTAGGCTGGAAGTTTGCTTTGATGCACTCAAAGCCCAACATGAATTATGCAGACATACATTTTTTTCCACTTTTCTTTAAGATAGGTTCCATTCTAAGGCAAATGCTGCTGTCCAAATAATTAATTTTTAAAGTTACCATTTGGTTTGTGTCTTAAAAAATAAATAAATAATTCCAAACAGTTTGGAGCTCAAGAACTATTTTTGCAATTCTTTTAATCCAGTTCAAAAATAGGCAATAGTATTTAACTTGTAACATGGTGCATCGCTTGTTTCTAGAAAGCTCCAAGTAGTTAATGGTAAGTTACAATATGGACTGGGCTGAAAAGCAATCTGGATAGCTGTGCAACACGGGATTAATTAGGGAAATCCTCTTAGGCTTGATTAGCCACTGCTTAGATCTACAGTTCTTGTTGTTGGTTCTTCCTATTAATGTCTCCTTTCTGTCGAAGTTGATTGTTGTGGTTTGGGTTTTGCCTCGTACCCTTTTGTGTTGAAGTGAAGTAGTACTGAGTAGATTTCGTAGTCCTCCAAATACCCAGCAGAATAACACCTGGAGTCGATTCACATTCATGTTGGCATTCTCTGAAAAATCTTTTCAATAATAACATTGCATATGGTTAATTTCTATTTTGTTCAGCAAATGATTAATTATGTCATCTTATTTGGCCTTCAGTGTTAAATTAAGGGACAAGGAGGCATATGTATCTGCTAAAAAGGATGAGTAAATGCTTATTCATGGAGATGAGACCGTTCCTGCAGCATGCTCTTCATAGAAAGCATATGTTGTTGATATTTCTGGCGAAGCTTTAATTGTCTTTCTTTTTCATTACACTGTGAAACTGTGATTTTTATTTCTGTAAAATTAGTTTCTTGTAGTACCATCACCGCAGAATAATTTACTGAATTATGAACTACTCTAGATTTTGTTTGGAAAATGCATGTGATAAACTTGTAAAATCTAAAGTACGTATCTTGAAGTCATTTGACTAGTGTTCCTTATCTGATGCTAAAACTTATTTTACTAGAGAATATGCTACTCTTCAGGAGTAAGAAAGGAAAGAAGAAAACAAGGGAAAAAACAAACAAACAAAAAACAAAGGCTCCAGAGCCCTGAGGCATGGAAACTAGCAAGCGGGCACTTCAGGACTGTGGCTAGATGGCTCAGCAAAATACTGGTAATAATAATAGAAAAAGATGCAAGAAGGCCTGTGAGGAATTGAACACTTCAGTGAGTGGTGATCGGTTTCCTGGTATTACACAGTGCTCTGTACGTTTCAGGGCAAGGCTTTGTATTTGGTAACACAGCGTAGTATTGAAACTGAGAGACCCCTAGCTTAGTTTTTACTACGGCTTCTGCAGTGCAACATCAGTTACAATTTGTTGCAAGTAACCTTCAGTAGCCATCTAAGTATCTTTTCTCCTATAAGAAGGCATGAGATCTGAAATTCTGTTTCACCTTGAATGACCTAGGAAACTTATCTTCATCCGTGATTCACCTAATATGATCTGTAAGAATGAATTGGGTTGGCTGCTGTCATGTCTCTAGACCAAAGGAAAGTAAAATGTAATTGTAATGCAAATGTAACTCTGAGAATGCAACGCTCTGGAATAGAGAATCAACTGAATTTCACGCATGTTGGTAAAAACGTGCAGGAAAAGAGAAAACAGCAACCTAGATGTAAGAGACAAGTGGAAGATGAAGGCGATTAAATGCTATCCATATAGCTTCCAATTCCTGAAAGCCAGGCAGAAGTTGATCTGCCTGCCAGCCCCTGGGGAGGGTTGCAGCAGGCTCCCAGGCCGGGCTGGGAGCACAGCATGTGCCCTGGCACACCTCTTGGCTGGATGAAGCTGTGGCAGCAGCACCATGCAAGCCCCCGTTCCCAGAGGAAATCAGAATTACAGCATGACGAGAGAAAGGAAGGATCTCGACCTCGGTGCAGGAGGGAGGGCTCTGAATCACGCAGCCCAGGAGTGCGCTCCTAATACGGGATAGGAAACGATTCAATCTGGTTAATTTTAACAGTGCTACATTTCCACAGCCCTTTAGTGCAGCCAACACCATGAGGTTAAATACCGTCTCTTCTTATTCAAAGAAAAATCAAAACTTTGCTGATAATGCATGTGATTTTGTACTTCCTGCCAGACCACTACAGAGTGCTATTATTTCCCTTAATTGTGAAGTGAATTTACTATAAAGCTCACTGATGGGAAAAAATTGCATTACTCGTCCATTGTTTCTCTTTGATTCCTTGGCTGGCTTTCAGTCCTGCCCTGGAGCTGGGCTGTTGATGGCATAAAGCAACAGCACAGCTTCTGTGGACACACAGAGGGTGCCTCGGGCTGGGGCACGACTGGACGGGACATCTTGGAAAGCATTCAAAAGGCCGTGTGGCTTTGGGAAAATAACACCAGCTTGCTGCTGGGGTGAGAAAGATGAGCTTGGGCTCCCGCACATGAGTTGAGTATCTTCCCTTTATGGTTTCCAGGTGATGGCTGGGTGCAGCTCCCCAGGCCCGCCGTCTTCGTGGGTGTCGTTCCTACCCTGCTAAGAAGCATCGCATAGAATTGAGCAATAGGGTGAATACGTGGTTGGCAGCAGCCGTGGTTTTCCTCAGCCACTGCTTGGTCAGGAACTGGTACTGAGGCATTGTCAGTTAGTTAGCAGCTTCCTGCTGTGGGATGGCATGTACGGCATGGTTTCGCTTTGTTTGCTCTCTGTGTTTTATTTAAAACGCAAAGTGAAAAAAGATGCAGGCAATTTGCAATACTTGCATGTTCCCAGTGCCTGGGATGGAGTTATGGTCTGAAAGGTTCCCGTATGGAACAAAAAATCAGCAGAGTTTTTATTTAGATTAAAACCTAGATGAGGTTCAGCAAGTTTTGCAACATTTACTTCTCTGTGAAATGCTGCTTAAACCTGGTTTTCCACTAAGAAAGACTGATTCAACTAAATTGGAAGGGTTCATAAATGTATAGTGATCTTGGTAGACGTTTATAATAATGTCAGCATGTTGTAATGTAATTAAGCTGTTGCATTTGTCTTTCTTTTCCAATATACTTGCAGCTCTGTCACTTTTGGGGGCCGTCTTGATGCGTCTTGGAAGAATAATTTCTTGGATGTCTAAAGCAAGCCTTTTGGGGGATGTGTTAACTAGGTAATTTCTGGTACCAGTTAGCTCTAACTAAGTAAAGCAAGTACACAGAGGACTGTAGAGAAAGACCAATTGATTTTAAGATGTCTGGAAAAAATAGTGAACGTTGTGATGTGTGGAAATACGTCGGGAGTTTTCTGTGGACTGAAATTAACCATTTTGAAGCAGCATTGGGTATATCCTCTGGAACAGCTTGCTTTAAATTGTACAGCTATATGCTCTCTAGCTTAGATACAATAATACTCTGAGCTAATATTCACTTAGAATTAGAGTGAAAAATAGATTTCATTTTCTCATGTTAAACTAATTACAAAACTAAGACTTGAATTAGAAGGTTAAAAAGAGGTCTCCAAAATAAATCACTTCTGAAGCCCTAAGACCTTGTTGGTTGTATCATAAATGTCAAGCTGTAAAAATTATGCTCTGGAAAGAAACTAAATTAAAAGTACTATACAGAAAGGAGCTTTGCCAAAGATATTTCAGTGAGTAAGCTTGACTCCACAGTCACTTAGCGAGGATGCTGATAAGGTACAAAAGCCAATGTAAAATCATTGTAAATAATGTAAACGCAATTGATGCTAGAAATGACAGAACTCAGTTTGCTAGTCCAGAAGGCATTTCTGTGGCTGCTGTTGAAACATACCCATACTGAAATGAAAGAGAAAAAGGATAAAGGACCATGCTAACTGCAACCCAGATACTCCATCATGATCAGAAATACAGCTAGGAGCTGTTTTTTTTCCTTTTCCTTAGCTATACAAAAAAATCAGTTAAAGAACATGAGTTAACCTGCTTATTTTTAAGCACCAATTAGTGCAAAGGCTGCAGACATCGATTAAATTAGTTTTAAATGCCTGGTAGTAAGAAATACACTGTTGAAGAACTAGATAATTAGGCAATTTCCTAATGTATTTTTAATTAAAGATAATATTCTGAGCTTGAAATTGAAACATGGGAAAGTTAAAGAAGTAATTCTTGAATTGAACTAGTGCTTTTCAGTATCGTCTGAGTGGAATACTACTCTGGCTTCAAAGCCTCATATAAGCAGCTAAAGCAATCTTTCACACATGTAACAGATACAACTGTTTAATAAAATATGAATGAAGAGCAGCTCGCACCCTGCTGTGGAAGAGTTATTAGTTTCTAGTATAATAGATGAATTTGGCATCTGTTGAAGAAATGCATTTAAATAGTAAAGAGTGTTTGATAGTTGCATTTCATATGTTAAAAAATATTTATACTGCTTTTCAATTCACAAGTAAATAGCTATCATCGTACCAGACTATTAAAAAAAATCCCTATTTTTATGGCATATAGAGATGAATGGAAATACACTATAAATTCTTTTTTTTTTTTTTTTTTTCCACTTTAGCCTGTAAATTTCCCTCTTAAGGTACTGGCCGTTGGGGATAGATAGGTATGATTGTAAGCAGTGCTGAAAGAAATAGGGGAAGATCCGAGTAAAATCTTGCCAGCAGTGTCAGTGATGTACTTTCTGAAGATTTCGGTGAGACTGGTATTCCTGTTTCAAGGGGGTTGTGCAGTATGCACACTTCTATGTCTTTCGGGAGAGGGGAAATGTTGGCAGCCCAACCATAATGAATAACAGTGGAACTGGCAAACTTCCTTCCTTCAGGAAAGGAGGAGTCCTGAGGCAGGCAGCTGGCGTGCGGGTAGACTCTGCCTGAAGTGCTGGCCAACATCGTCTCCTTGTTCCTTGTGTATTCCCCTTTCTGTCTGAACCGAGCTGTTGTGTCTCGTCTAATACTTAGGTAGCAAGTTCTGTAAAAAAAAAATAATTCAAAAACCATCACTTTGCTTTGTATTTTAGGTGACTCCTGACCATGAAGTTCTGGTTCACAACCCGGACTGCTCTGCTAGCGTTATGGTCACTGTGCCCACTGAAATTAATGCTGTTATTCCACGTATTCATAGTAAGTCCTGTTAATTAGTAATATAATTTCTGCATTGTGATTTTGATCAGGTTTTTATGTAGCAGATACACATAAAGCGCCAGGAGATATTTGGCTGAAAACGTAACTTTTACTGTTATTCCAGCATTGTTCGTCACAGCTGTAAGCATAAGAACCTTGATAAAATATTCAGTGAGCAAATTTGCTTCAATAATCAATAAGCAACTGGAGCCACATTCATCCTAGAAATAACTTTACTGACCATAATGGCTCTGCACCAGGAATTCATTTAGCCAGCATGGCTTGTGCTGTCTGTAACTGTCCATTAGCTCCCTCTCCACAGGTGAGATGTTGAGGTTTGTGCCCAGACCTGACTCGGCCCTGCTGCTGCTGGTCCCTTCTGGAGGTGTTGGGATTAATGGCGAGTGCTGCTGTGGGCAAAGGTTGTTACTCATGCAATTTGGCTGTTATCAAGAAAACTAGACATAAGGGGGAAGCAGTGTGAGGTGCCTGGGGTGGCTATGGGGCCAGGGCACCCTAGCTCTGCTCGGCTGGGGCCTTCTTCCAGGCAGCGGCTCCCCGCTGCTTGGGGCTGTCCCGCCGCTTCCAGCACCTCTTGGCCTTTCCCCTTGTTGTAATCTCTGCTTTCTTCGCCTTCCAGGTGTTAGTGAGAAGCAGGCAGATAAAAGCGGATGGAAAGCTGGCTGACGTGTGCAGTAGGTACTTGTGGCTTGAAAAGAAATACCTTAAAACGTGCCCCATGAATTAATTGGCTTTTGCTATATAGAAAGGTCAGTTGAAAAACCCATCCCTGTTGATTAAGTAGTGTGGCTTTTTTCATTTTTCTCATGCCTCAACATTTAAGTATTTCAGGTGGTGCCCTAACACTTGCCTTCTAGCTATAACCTTGAGTTGCTTTTAGGTATTTTGTGAAACATGAACGGTAGGTGAAAGACTTCCTCACAGGATGCCCTTCTAACGCATTTTGAGTTATTATCCAGAATAAAAATGCTTGCTATTAAATGTTCTACATGCACTACTGAAGTGTTTACTATGATAATATTTAGTGTTTACGAAATTGAATTGAAAAAACAATGCAGATTTTTAATTAAAATATTTGGTTATGTTCAGATAAGTATTTTTAAATAAAATATATTTTTAAATATATTAAGATATTTTATAAGCTGCATATAGAAAAGTAAGTCTATAAAAGTGCTTTTTGTTATTGAACTAGGAAAAGAATAAATTTATACATTGAATAATAATTGTCTAGAATAGCTGTACGTGTTTTCTTCCTTAAAGTTCAGTGCAAGATGCATGAACGGAAGTACTTTAATCTCTGACAAATGTACTATTTATGTAACATGTGCCAGTTTTATCTTATTCTAGACAGAATCAGTTTCTATGAGGAAAAATAAATCTGAAAATGGTTTTGAAGTTCAGTGCACGTATTAGAACCGTGTAAACTGTGCTTCATAAGTCATGAGCACAGTGCTGGCAAAAACAACATTTTTACATTCACTTCCAATTTTCTGTTTTTCTCAAGAGCTTCAGTCTGTATTAAGTAGCATCTGAAACTGATGATGAGGGCTTTTATTTGTTGTTGCAAAGCTCTGAGGATAATGTAAAAATGTTTGCACATATATTCAGTAGAATCATTGTTATGATATGGCAATGCTCAGCCTGGTGTGGTAATAATTCGATGCTTTGCAGTCTCTGTTCCTTCATTTTTCTCACCTGTTGTATCTCATCGCTGATCATTTTCATGTTGAATGTGATGCGTCTGTGACCATGTTTTTATTTATAGGTACAGATTTGCCATTTTCCTTTCCACTTCTGCTCTGTCATCTTCCAAACATCAAAGCATATATATTTAGGGTACTTCTGTCTTCCAATAAGTGTGCTAATTATATCAAACCCCGATAAAGCCAGAAAAACAAACTGATTTCCTGACTGCCTTCATCCTAAATGTGATTAAAATGCTACATGGGTAGACGTGCCTTCTTCAAGATGGTATTTTAGTATACTTTACACATTTTTTATGTAGTCAAAAGTCTCTGTAATCTAAGCCAGAAAACAACAAGAGCTAAAATAAATCTTATTAGAAACAGTAAGTTAAAAAATAAAATTATCGAACGAAAATATTGCTAACCCTTTTCCTGTGATTTAAATGCTTATAAACGTAAAACATTACAGGCTAAAATAACCGCAGCGCCAACTGCACATGCGGTTAGCTACGTAGCAGTGTTAACTTATCTTCCCCTCTATTGTTGAAAGCGATATTGCATACAGGCTCCAGTACTCTGCGGACCGTAAAGGCAGCCTGCTGCTATTGTGCTGGTGATGTGATACTTTCTGCCAAGTGTCTCATTACTAGGAGTGGACGCGGTGTGTTTCACTCGGTCAAAACAATCCGTGAAACTACTGCTGAACATCACGTTTTCTTTTGGGACAGGCTTGGACTGTTAATGGTCTGGAACAGCAAAATAACAAAAAAATATATGCAGATCAGTTCTGTAATGTGAAAAAAAATAATCATTAGAACGCTTGTATCTCAGAATAAACAAATTCATCGGAAAACATGTTCTCTGCTAAACAAGGACATGTTTTTTTCTTATAATGGTTTGATCTCATTTCATAACTCATGTAATTAAAACGTGTCTTCTCTGTTGTTCATTGCAGGAGGCAAGTCTCTAACGTGGTAATTTAAATCTTTAACAAAATACCAGTTAAAAAAATCTTTGAATGATGGCTCATGGGAGGAAAATAAGGAAGGCTCTAAGATAACTGCTTTTGAAATGTAGGAAAACATAATACTGAGTTCCTGATGTATTAAACTGCAGGAGGCTACAGGTGAGCAGCTGAAAGCCTTGTGTATGTTGCTTCCAGTAGGACTGCTCCTCGGGAAGGTTTTAGTGCCACAGACAGACGAGTAACAGGACCTTGCCCCAGTGCGACAGTAGCTTGGTTTGTTGTGTGGTTGTTTTTAATGCAGGTGGATTTTGGGTGCCACTGAGCGAGGCCCTGGCTTGGTCCCCAGGTACGTGCAGGATGAGGCAGGATGGAGCAAGGCGGTGGGGCCCTCCGCCGGGTTATGGTTAAGTGGTGATCTGGTGCCATGCCTGTCCCCCTGGGGTTCGGTGTGACTTCACCCCAGCCCTCTGGGGGGAAACATGGTGTGCTCTCAGTAAAGGGTGAACTTCTCTTTGCCACAATGCAATGTCAGTCTCAGCTGGGAGTCAATGAATCGCACTATTTACTTCAAAAGGCTTTGGAATCTGTCCTAGAAGCACAACCCCAGAAATCCTTATTCAAGTGGTTTTACTGAAGTAAATAGAGTTACTAATAAGTGACTACTCACTAGAGTAATGCAGGATTATGTTTAAATTCAGTAATTTGACTGCCCACTTATGTTTAATGACGTTTATTTGCAGGAATGATACATTCTGGAAAGTGAGGTCAGCCGGAACACTTGTGGTGTTCATACGTCTGCAACCCTTGATCCTGCAATGTAGTAGTCACTAAAAATAGGAGCCATTACTCAACTGTAAAAATGAAATGGTTGGCAATATTAGTGGGTGGCACACTGAATATTCACAAGTGTGGGATGCAGAAGTGTGATGCTCATTTCATAACAATAGTAAAAAGTACAATATTTATTTGAGGTTTTATAAATTACCATGGCATCATAAACATTTTACTCTGATTTTTTTTTTAAGCAAGTTATTTTTCTCCTTCACAGGAGAAAGTGTCTCTCTTTTTTTTTTTAATAAAAATACATTAATCCAATGTTTTGATATTCACTTGGTAAGGTTATTTTTACTGCTTGGCTGCCATAATTAAGTTTAAATTGTACTGTCAGCAATGTTAAAGCTACATTTTCTATTGTTTGTATTCTGTTAGTGTGATTCTAACTATAATTATTTTTCATTGACTGGTTTGGGTTATATCTTTCCATGTTTGGATTCTCACAGTTTTGTTGTGTAGTACTCAGGTATTGTTAAATATTCTATTTGTCCTTGCCAAGTGCCTGAAAAATACAAACATTAGATTTTTGTACTTATTTAACATTTGTTAGTCTTATTGACTTCTTCAAATTCTTTTGCTGTTGGAGAGAGAAGAAAACTGTGGATGTAGTGTATACTTATGTGAAAGACACTCATATGCCACAGTGGTTAATAACTACCTGAAAATAGCAAATTAAAGTAATAAGGATAAGTAAGTTTCATGAAGATCTCATCTTTCCTTGTGGATCTTCTAAAGCATACATGAGGAGTGACCCACTTCTGCAGCTTTTACAATGAAGAAAAAAAAAAAACAGATTGAAAATGAAAGTATTGATTGAAAAATATAATACCATGATACATCATTATTTACAGTGATTCAGTAAAGGCATTTACGCTACCCTGTAGAATACTGCATTATTCTGCCTTTTTATGGTTAAAAAATATGTAAATGTGAATGAGTATTTAGCGTAAGCAGCTTAGCACACTGTGATGAAGCATTTGTCAGATCTACACCTCTTGATGTAAGATGAGCACAGTGGAATTTCAGAGCATCCCTGGACAAAATCATCTGTGACAGTTGGCCAGGTGCCAATTTTATTAACCATAGTTGTCCCCCTTGCTTGTTTCAACAACAGTGGCTCTTAAACTTTAAAAGAAAAGTAAGGTCAAAAACAAGCAATCATCAAAAAACAAACTGAAACAACAAAAAACAAACCCTGCAACCAACCTCTGCAAGCCCTAAAGTGGGAGTAATAATCACTTGTATAATTTCAAAATAAATGCTTGATAGTTTGCCACTTCTGTGCATTTTCAGTTGCTTGAGACATAAATGTCGCTCATCTATAGTGTAGTTGTGCTGCCTTTCCTTGATGATGTGAAAACTAAGGGTTCCACCTGGACAAATGTTTTAGGGAGGGAAGCTCTAAGTTCTTGCACAAAATTGGCTGTTCGGTATTTTTCTTGAGGTAAGCATTTATTACAAAGTGAGAAGGGGCAGTTGATCTCAAGTAGATTATACAAGGCTTTTATCTACATGATAACAAAAAAAAGATTTTAGAGATGCCTTCTACATTTCCTAAGAGCTACCACCACTATGGTCACCCTGTCATTATCTTTGTGCACAAGACCAAGCGTTGTTGCTTAACACTCGGCAGAATTTGAAATGGCAATGCCACAGTGGTGCGTGAGGGCATTAAGGGCAGGGGGAGGTACCAGCAGAAAGGCAGGTGAGCAGAAGAACATTTTCAGTCTGTTTTTTTTTTTTTTTTTTTTTCTTTGTAAGAGCCACAGATGTGGGTCACTCCTCAGGCATACTTTGGGTGACCCATAAAGAAAGGTGAAGTCTTCATGAAATGACCATTGGCATGTGCACGCCCCTTGCACAAAGCCTCAGAACGCACCACTAGCCCTTGGAAAGTGTCTTTTGTCCTTTGCAGTTTTAAAGCTTTTAAATCTTATGGAGGAGCCAGGCAAGTTAAACAGCAAGTAACCAAATGCACTTGTTTTCTTCTTAGTCTTGTATTAAAGCTATTTTGATAAAGTACTATTCTGATGTGCAAAAAATGAAGTGGAAATAACAGCTGTAGTTCATGTTTCACTATGCATGCTTATTTTTTCCAAATGACTAATAATGTAAACTGCATAAAGAAATTTTTAAATTGAGGAAATACAGTGCTTCTCAGCTGAACTTCCAGTTGTTGTAGGAAGAGCCAGGTGAATCTTTGCTTTAAATTTGAAAGTAATAGCATGGAGGTCGTGGTGTGGAAGGTTAAAAGCACTAAAACAAACAACAGTGGGAGTGGGACCTTCCTCTTTGGCACTTTCCTCGTCACAGGCTAGACTTGCTACCGTGCTCTGCAAGTTGGGTGGCTGCAGCCTAACAACCTGCAGCGGTCACAGCAGCGTGTTCCCAAGCAGCATGCTGCTGGGTGGTTTGGATTTTGTAATTTCTACCCAGAAAACTAACCTGAGGTCTGTGCAGCTCTATTAGTCTGAGTAAAAAAAAAAAAAATCTGCCTTCCTCATTGTTAGCTCTGACATCCACTGAACTTCTTCCTGAGCTAATTCAGCTCACCAAAGAAAACCTTCTGCTTTTTTGCAGGGCGTGCTTCATCTACTCAGTAGGAGATTCAATGCCAGTGTCACTGGAGAGTAATCGTCAGGAGAATTGAACTGGATGCGTGGCGAGGAGTCAAGAAAATAGTAAGAGACCAGTTCTTGTCCTTTTAGCAGTGATGCTTCATTGTTACATGCAATTTCATCCCTATGTTGTTAGTGATTTGAGCGATGGGCCTGACGGATGGAATTACAACCCTATGGCCCTGCCTTTCCAGTCCTTATCTGTGTGCTTTTGCTTCTCTAGCCAGCTCTAGTAGCACAGCCTTGTTCAGAACTCTGTGCTGAAGCACATTCAAGAATTAAGAGTCTGGCAGATGTAAACAACGTATGAAGTGATGTAAACAGCTCACACGGGCCATACAAAATATTTTGATGATGTAGCTTATAGCAGTTTGAGTAAAACAAATTGTTCTAGCCAAAGCATTTTCTGTCTGTGTCTACACTTAGGATTTTTATAACAAAAATAGCACAAAGTGTCATCGGTAGGTGTGCTGCCAAATGGTTCTAGCCTGGGTTTGTCCTCAGATCTTCTCTTTTTGCTGCATGCTAGTTTTACATCTATTAGAAATGCCTTTTTCTACGATTTCTGTTTCTTCTTTCCACTCTGAGCACTAGCATCTAACTACTTCTTATCCTCAGTAATGTTATAGAAACGAGGAAGAACAAAGAGCCCATGGAGGTGTGTGTTTCAATGCTGAACTTTATAAACGAATCTAAATGACAAGGGCCTCCTTCCACTAAGTCACTCAAGTACAGTGAAACAAAACACTCCCCTTGGAGCCCTATCAGTTGTCCATGTTACTTACAGGTGTAACAGGAGTTTCTGCGTTAACCCCTCAGTTGCCTACTGGCACAAAAATACCTGCCCGGAGAAAATAAGGACAAGGATGTGTTTGCTATTTATCAGATGACAAAAATAAAATCATGCGAGAGCTTCTCAGACACAGCCGTATTTAACTTCTGATCCAAGTGTTTGTCAGAGATTTTAAAACTCGCTGATACGCTCCATGTGGCACTGCTGTATGTTGTAGATAGCTAAAAAGTCCTCGATGGCCTCAGCAAGCCTTATAGGTGGGTGGCTGAATGAGGAGAATCAGCACTTGAGCTTTGCAGTGGCACTAGCTGAGCTGGAGCTCTTGTGCCCTTTTGGTCAGGTTACCCTATGGGTCCTAAGTATGAGGAAGTTTACACTCAGCACAAGGAAGACTTATCGAAACAGCTCCCAGATAGGGTAAAATGATGGATATTTGGGGAGATGCTAAACTCTGCAAAAGCAACTGGAGGAGTTGCGAAGAGGTTTGAGAGATGGATTACACTCTGGTGATACTCCTGCTAGTGGAAATCTAGCTTGATCTAAAAACTGATTAAAAAAAAAAAAAGGAACATATGAATGAAACTGCAAAACGGTGCTGTATTTTGGGAGGCTCTGTTATTTAACAAGCATGACCAAGTCGTGAGCAAACATGAAAAGCCCAGAGAGCTCAGCATAACAGGAGAGGTTATGCACCCCCAAACATTAATTCCTTCTCTCTAAACTTGAATTCAAGCCTATTTCTGAAAGCTGTTGGTGAAAATTGTGCAAATGTATCAGTGGAGTGTTGGATTCATAATTTGCTCTCTGTTTAGAGGATCAGCATCATTCTGTTTACAACCATATTTGGATTTGGTTGTCCAAGTAGAAGAGGCTACATGGGGAACAAGAAGAGAATTGCTTCAAGTAGTTCCTACAAACCAGCTGTAAAAATATGGCAAGACTAGTTAGTAGCTGAGTAGGGGTATTTTATTTTTCAATAGATCACGAGCTCTTAATTAGGGGGTGATGTATGCCAATTAATGTTTGTGGACGTAATACACTTAGGGATAGAACCAGTATATACCTAATGCTTTATTTCATTCAGGCGTTTTAGGGTTTGTATGCTTAACTGATCAAGAATGTTTCTCTGTAAGACTGTATAAAGTCTTTCAAAATAGATTGTTAATATAATGTGTATCAATAATTCACTAGGAAGCCGATCCTTCTAGGAGAGGTGTGAAGAGAAGCACGATTAAAACCTGTACCACCCGCAGCAATGCGACCAGCACCCCTTACCACCTACAATTTCCTAAGGCTGGCTCCCACCTATTTTTCCCCACCCCTCATTTCGGCGTGAAAAATAAACGATTGCGGGCGGTTGGGTGAGTAAAAAAACCACCAGCTGGCTATTTGGGCCAAAGAGGTGGAGCCCCGAGCCCTATAGCAGCGCAGAGGCCTGTTTGTGGGCACGGGCTGCCCAGGGCCTGGCAGTGCCCGGGGCCGTGCGGGGGCGCTGCGGGCGGGCGGAGGAGGAGGAGGAGAAGAAGGAGGAGGAAGAGGAGGCGGAGGCGGGCGGTGGGGGCGGGCTGGGTGCCGGCCCTCCCCGGGACGATGAGGCGGAGGCCCGGGCTGCCGAGCGGGCTGAGCCGCGGCGCTTCCCTCGCAGCCGCCGGGACAAGATGGCAGCGGCCGAGGCGGCGGCGGCAGCAGCAGCAGCAGCGGCAGCGGCGGGGCTGAGCGGCTGAGCTGAGCGCTCCCGGACATGCCCAGGGCGGTGGCGGCGGCAGCGGCAGCTCCAGCCCGGACGCCAGCGCGGCCCGACCCGTGAAGGTGAGCGGCGGGCGGGCGGCTCCGTTCCCCCTCCCCCCGGTTCCCCGGGCGCCGTTGGGGCCGGCGGTCGCCCCGGCTTCGGTTGCCGGCAACAAGCCCCGAGCGGAGCTGGGCGGCGGCCGCCGGTCCCTCTGTCCGTCCCTCGGTCCGTCTGTCCGTCCCCCGGGGCCGGGCTGTGAGTACCGTACCGCCTGTTGACGCGCTCGGCAATATCCCCGGGCCAGGCCGGGCTGTGCCCGCCTCGCAGTGTCAGCGCCAGCGCTGCCCGCCTGGCAGGAGGTCGGCTTCAGGCTGCCGGGCTCGGCTCCCCCCACCCCGCCCTGACAGCCTGCTGCCTGCTTTCTGCAGGGTAACCTCGCTCCTTTCGGTCAGCGTAACGCCTTGAAAGCCTGCTATTAATACCGAGATCAGGACGCCGAGCAAAGCTGCGGCCGTGTTGATAACCAGGCGCGTTTCTCTGATTCCTTTCCAGCCTTTCCTTCCATGACATCATTTGCAAAAAGTTTGCGCCCTGCTTTCAGAGCAATGCGGAAAAGCTCGGCCGGGCTCCGGCTGACTTTGTGGCATAGCCGTAATGCCATAGCAGAATTAATAAAGTGCGGGAGGCTTCTGGAAGCTAAGTTTAAAATTCACGCCGTAACTATCTCGTAAGCGCGGCAGCCGGCGGAGAGATTAATTAAGCATCTGGAAAATAGGTCAAGACTGCATTACCCAGTGGTGTGGTGAGATGGCAAGCGACCGGAGCGAGGTGTTAACATGGATTTACGGGGAGACAACCCCTAGGGCTGGAGCAGCGGTGCTGGCGTTATCTGCCCCGCCGCCAGCCCGGTGTGGTAGCACGGTAAGGAGATGGCTGCGAGCACACGGAGCAGGCACTGGAGATGGCTTTCATGTGGTGCCCGTGCTGCTGGGGTGGTAGTGCTGGCTGTGCTACTTGTCTAGGGTGTGGCACAGGCTGTGCTCATAAATCGGCCCTGCCTTTGTGGGTCTGTGCCGAGAGATGCTCTCCTCGGCGTGGTCACGGTGTAGGCACTGCGATGCCATGGCTGGAGTGGAGCGTGGTCAAAGGAATCGCTCGAGAAGCTGCTCCGGATCTGCTGTCTGAGATTTTTCTTTGTTTGAGGTTTGTTCTCTTTGCATGTTTCCTCCCTTCTGTCTTTCAAACAACTACCTGCAAAAACAGGGAAATGAGGCCGGCTCCTGCATAACGAGATGCTGGAGACGGAATAAAGACAGGGTGTGGGGAAGAAGTGTTTTCAACTTATCATTTAGAAGTCCGCATCGTTAATAGAAATATTACAGTCTGTGCGTGCTGCTCTTCCTGTTCTGCGCTTTATAGCAGTTGCTTCAAGACAGAGTTTGTGTCGGGGGGGATTTTCCAAAAGCTGGTGTTGGATTGACTGCAGCCACTAAAACTGGCGGGACTCTAAGTGGTAATTTTACAGGGCACAGTGCTGGTTTGCCCACTTCGTGGGTAGAACAGAATTAGCTCTGCTGGTTCACGTTAAAAATCCCAGCCTAAGCATGTGGGGATGTCAGGCTCTGCTTCCTCAAGCTTGCTTATGCAGGGTTGTACCTGCCTGTGCTATTTCAGGGGGTTGTGGTCTTAAAAAGAACATCGTTTGAGAAAACATTAACTTTTATTCAAGTCTCTGTTCTCTTGTTTTCTGTTCTGCCAGTGCACTGGTTATATAAACCACAGGTACTTTGGACAAAACCTTGCATTTAGAAATAGGGCTTCTGGTGTTGTCTTTTATGTGTGTGTGTGTGCAGGGAAAAATGCATTGATCGTGGGCACGGTGCTGTCATTTGGGACTGAGCGTGTGTTTCAGGCCGATGTTAAATCCAGAGGTCTGTACTAGAAAAAACATTGTAGTTGAGCTAAATTTCACCATTGCGACGTCAGGCCCGTGAGGTATTTTGGCACACAAGTGGTCTGCATTACAAAATAGCTGCTGTAGGCAGCGTGACTTTCTGCACAGGGCTTTGCGGGGAACAAACCAGAGAACGTTGGTGGCTTTTTCTTTTTTTAAGACAAGCCTGAGCGTCACTGAATACATCGTTGTTTCACTGAATATGCAGGAAAAAAAGAAGTTACAGCTAAGGTAAACTGCTTCATTGACTCCACAAGCCTGAAGCAGGTAAAGCAGGCCTGATACTCAGCTGGCACATTCAGCCTAGTGGAGAACAAACAGGGAAGTAGCGTGTCCTGGTGGCAATACCAATGCTCCTCCGTTATGAGTTCGGTGCTGCATTTTGCCAAATATTGTCTGTATACGTACCTCAACAAGGCTTGCGTGTTTTTGCCAAGCTTCTTCAGTTCACCGGCAGCGTTGCTGTGCAGTTCCAGAAGGATTTCAGAAGTCTTGGCGTAGGATTAATCTGATGAAGAAAACATCCTCGCCACTTCATCATTAAAATGATGAAGCTCCTCTGGATGGATCGTACACGTTTGCAGCTGGTCAAATACTTATTTTCAGCTGGTCT